CGATCAACATAAATTTTACAAACAAAAAGATTTAACTTAGTTCCAAAGACGATTTGACTCTGCATCTTAGTATTTTATAAAAACCAATTTTTTTGCAGTGCATCAATGCGCTCACAGAGATTTAATAAGTATTTACACAGTACTATTAAAAATAAGTAAAAATTGTTCCCGAAATATTGTCAATGGCTTGAGTTTTTGAAAATTTTCTCTTTTAATTTTTAACTTTTCTCTCAATAACTTGTCAGGAAACCATCGTAATATCATGAGGTGCAATCTTAATATGGTGCTATATGTTAAGCCGAATACACTCTTGAAATTGGAATACATATTCTTGTAAACCCTATATGACTATATACAGTCAACGTGAAATGTAAATTTTTTTTCTTTTTCTCAATTTTTCAATAAAAAGTTTAAATTTGAAACTGCGAGATAAACTAAGAATTTTTCTTCTATTTTCAGTTTCTATTTTTTTATTATTTGATATGACCTTCTAAATTTCTAAGAAACGTGCAATACACAGACTGATAAAACTTTAAAAAAATAAAAACTTTTATTTCACTTGACTTAAAGTTTTTTGTGTTTCTATATTTTTCCTTTTTTTTTGTCTTATAATTTTAAAGTGAATTGCAAATAATTTAAAGTTACTCAAAAAAAAAATATGAAAAAAAAAAAACATTTTTTAAATTAATAATCTAGAATCTAGATGAAAGAATTTTAATTTTATTTTTATAATACTTTTTTTTATATTTCAACGAAAGTGGAACGAATTGAGCTGCAATAAATTAGATATAAAAATTTAAGATAAAAAATTGAAAAAACAATAGCAAAAATGTTCAATTTTAATAAACTAATTCAAAAATCCCGATGAAAAAGGATACAGTATCTACGAATTGTATTAGATAAGTTTGTATACGTTAAACCTTGCACAATTCTCCACATCATCTATAGTACCAATAATATATTATAGAACGAATTTATTTTAAGTGGCCTAAGTTCATTCATGCAATTTCAAAACACTTAATTTCAAAGCAATGGACAATGTCAATAGTTGGAATTGAATTGAGTTCAATATAAAAATAAATTGTACTAATACAACAAAAGACCACTCTTTTAGATATTTTAAACCGAAACGTTGTAATATTTCATTTAATTTAAAATTGACTTGGGTCACTTTTAAAATGAACTACATATTCTTAATTCTTATAACGTTTATCAATTTATCTAACTTCATCTTTATTACAAGGTATTATAATCTCGTTTTTTTTCCATTTACATCTTCATTTTCTAAAGCCTTCTAAACTCTTAATTCCTCACTTTTTTCAATTTCAATTGTTCATTTTTTTTTGGTTTTTCTTCTCACCTTCTTTTGTTGTTTATTTGCACCTTTATATTTGCTTTGTTTTGTTTTTTTATTCACAAAAACTCTTTAATTTTTGCCATTTTCATTTTTTATTTACTGTTATAATTTTTATCCAATTGTTCTCTGTAAGAAACTCGGAAATATTTTTGCTTCTTTTGTTTCAAGCTCCTTTGTATCCTTCTTTTTTATTGTTATCTAAGACATTATTCAAAATTATTTATCTTTTATGTAAAGTGTTTACCTGTTTAATAATACTTAATATTACAATATTACACAGAATACTATAACTTACATTTGTACAAACACAAAATTATTTGAATTATGATTATTACATAACAAATATAATTTTTATATAAATGTAATTTGTTGATTATCTAGCTAGAGTTTATCCTATTTGTTGATTATCTAGCTAGTAAATGGGATCCATAACAAAGTAAATTCAATAAAGTTCCAAGTTTTAAACAAAATTTAAATTATTGCAATTTCCAAATCAAAAATTTTGTTTTTAAAATTGGAAATTGCAATAATATTGTAATTACTATAGTTATACAATGAGTTGATTAGTCATTCATAGGCTATGGTATCACGGAAATTTTAAAATAAACGGTACAATCAAAGTTTATTGGTGTTTGAAGCCAGCTATTTACTATCTAAGTAAGTTTTTTCATATAGAACCGAATCTTTGGTTAGTCTCCTTCAAAAATGATATATTTCTCAATTTTTTATTCACATATTATTTCAATTCTGTAAACCTTTTGAACTAGTACAACATTATAAGTAATGCTTATTTGTATAGTAATAGCAATACATATATTGGTTAGCCTTACTTTCAAATCGCGAATATTAAAACAAATCCTTACTACTTTATTCCTGGTTTTTGTTTTGTTTACAAAATTTTTAAATTTACTTTTATTCTTTTAAAACACAAAAAAAAATATTTTAAATTTTTTATTTTATTCCAAAATCATCATCATCCACACAAATATAGACTGTTACATGAGTAGAAGTACTTTTTTGTTTTTGTGCGGCTACACAAATAATCCTCATTATTTCAACAAAAACGTAAAACAAATTTTTATTTCTGGCATTTTTTTCTTCTAATAATTTTTTATCATCATAAAGAATAACAAGAAAAAATTTTCAGTTCAAAATGACTACACACATGTTCGTACATAATACTATTTTTAAATAAATAATGCAAAAAAATAAATTCAATGCTGTTTTTTGCGATATTCTGGTAAATAAAAATAAGAAAAACAAAAAAATGATCCTAACGCTTCAAGAAAAACGAAGCTTACATTTAAATATAAAAGTGTACAAAAAAATCTTCGTTTCTAAATGGGATTATTCATAAGTTTAAATAACGAGTACGGTAGCTGTTATATTTTTGTTCATGCTATTTTAAATAATTTATAGCAACCCCATTTGGACTCGATGAAGAGTAGATAAAATTTTTTACATAAATAATATATAAGTATACACAAAATTTTTAGAAATACTGAAAAAACTTGAACGGTCCTGCAATTTTTATATGAATACAAAAATTATGAATGAATGTAACCATAAATGGTACGTTTTAAATGTAATTGAAGGCTTATACCCCCAAAATCATTTTGGTTTTTTTTCTCTTTTAGTTTCTAATGATACTTTAGTTTTATATGTATTCATTTCCTTTCTTTTTTTTCACAAACAGTTAATGTAAAATGGGGCGATAATACTAATACCTAAGGATAAGAAAAATATCATCAGTTTTACGAAAATATCTTAAAAGAATTTGTTATTTTTAAATTAAAATATTAGGAGTTAATTTTTGTTGTTGCATCCACCCACTAGCAGTTAAATTTCGAAGGCAAAGCTAAATTTCAAATTTTTACTATTCCGAGTTAATTATATCTATTTGACGACATTAATAGCAAGTCTTCTCTCCATTGTTTGACCAGTCAGATAAATGTTCTCTCCTTTTTTTGTGATTTTGGTAATATGTGCTAAAAATGGAAATTTTTTAAAACGCAGTATTTCACTTATTCAGAAAGCTTTTAACTAAAATTGTTTTTTGAAATTTTCTTTTTTTCTTAATTAAAATTAATAAAAATTTTATTCCTCTATTTGTTTCTATGTATAAATTTCTCGTATTACTTTCCTCTACCAAAATGATTTTGTTTCAGAGATTTAAAGTTAACATTTAGAATAGTAGTTGTTTTTATCAAAATAATCCTTTTTGTTTAACTCAAATTTTAATCTTTTAAAAACATTTAATACATAAAATAAACCTTTCTTTATCAACCATTTAACACTTAAATATCCGGACTTATATTAAATAAAAATAATGAAATTTATCTGAACACTTATTTTAGTATGGTAACATTTAAACCCTCAAAGATCTTAATGTTACAAGCATGAGTAAATTTATCACATCATTTACTTTACTTGTTCATTAACAATTTGTATTTTCTAAGGTTTCAGGTAAAACGAAAAAAAAAAACTTTAATTTTTTTAAAAAAAAACTAAATTTTATTCGACATTTTAGAAGTTAAAATATTAATTTTCTTAAAATGACAAAAAATTGTATTCCGAAGTATAGAAAATAAAAATTGAAAACTCTACAAAATCTATACAATATTATATGTACACATGTATACGTACCATCAAAGCAATGTAAAACTGTGCATTAGACGAAATCAGAAAATATGCTATTTTTACAAAAAAAATTAGAATGTACTTATAAAATTTAATTAAAATTTAAATAAAAACAATTTCACTAATAATTATTTGTAATGTACTTACTATGTACAATATTGAAACAATGTAGAAACTACGATTTTTAATACAGGATCAGAATTGTAAATCTTGAATATTCAATATCTTTGAATTTATTTTGCAAATCAACAAATTAAAGTCATAAATTAAGTCATTTCAATTTACAGATGTATTATCTTATTCAAAATATTGCATAAATTTGTTTTAATTCATAAGAAAAAATACATGCACGACTCTCAATGCGAATTGTGCATTAAAATTTGTCTATAAACAAGCCATAACACAAAGTAATTTTTACTTTAATCATCGAAATTGTTTATCTTTTAGTTAATCATTTAAAATTTAAAATAAAAAAATATTTTTTGTAGGAATTGACTTTTAATATCAATTTTTGTAAGTTATATTATAAAATTTCTTTCAAATGCAAAAGGATATGGACGTATAGTGTATATTCTATTTATGTATTTTTAATAATAGATAACTCTTGTATTGCTTTAAGACTTGTTTTTTCCGATTTTACTGCATTCAAATAAAAATTCGCTAATTTTTTTATAAAAAATAAGAAAATTAATTTAAAACAATTTACAAGATTTTGATACCCTACAAAACTTATTAAAATATTTTTATCAAAAGATTTCTTTTAACTTTGATCCTGTTTAGCATATAAATAAAATTACACTTGTTTTACATAGTACATAATTTTTTTTTGATTTGTCTTTCTTAACATTAAACCATGTTTGAATTTTAAAAATTTTAAAAATTAATGAAAAAATAGAACTAAAAAGCAACTTAATTTGACATAATTAAAAAAATACATTATACAAAAGAAAATTATATTTAAATTAACTTCTAAATTAATCTATAAAAAAAATGTGCTGCTTATTCTTTTGCATTGTTGTAATTTCTAGAACAGAGATGTGAAAAAAATGCTATGGGATAATGAATTTAGTTTAACTCAAAAATAGATTAGGAAAGTAACTATTTTTTTATTATTTTATTTGAAAACTGCTAATCATTAGCACAGTAAAATCTAAAAGCAGCAGCAAAAAAAATCTTAATTGTATGTATATTATTACATTTCAAATATTGTACAAAATTTTTAAACTGAAAAAAAAATATACTTATACAAGTCCTATTTAGGCTGCTTCTTGTTAGATGATATAGTATGTGCAAAGATTTTCGAGATGTTATATTTAACAAGTGAACTGAAATATATAATTTTTTTGATGTTTGACTGGTTGATGAATCTTTAATACTAAAATTATTTAACCAAATAAATAAATTCACTTTTTAATTTATATTAAAATTGTTATAATTCTATTCCAAAAATGGTAAAATTTTTGTTAAATTTCCATGATTGTGTTATTTAATTCATTTTACTGTTTTGTTTTTTAACTTTTATAGTAAAAGTTTTCCTTTAACGATTTCCAGTATCATTTTATGTCTAAAGTATTGCATATGTTGTTGTGAAAATGTTATGCTCTTGTTACGTGTCACATATTCGGCAAACATACAACTGAATACACCACAATCACTACCATTCATTTGTCGTGGACAATCTGCTACACACTCTTTGACAAAATCGTTTGTTTCAAATACAACATTTTTTTTATCTAAAGATTCATCCCTTAAATATTGTTCAAGGGCTTGTAATACTCTTAAATTTGGCGTACCCATCGAATCATAGTATTTTATAGTCTTATTTTTCAAATGTATAATTGCCATACACCAATGGACACCTCCAACATGAACAGGGACCGGTATTATATCATATGAAAACAAATCAACTTTTCTAGTCCAACGCCGTACGGCTGAGTATCCGCTTGACATTAAACGTGGAATAAAAAATGTATTCATTGCATATACTTTCGGATAATTTTCTGATGCACGTATTTCTCCACGTTCCATCAATAAATTCATATAAAAATTAATAACTTCATCATTGAGCCAGGTATCCCCCACTAAAGTTTGTATATCACGTCTTCGTATGCTCATGTTGAATTTTTGAATCAAAACCTTGAAATATTTAAACATTAATGTTATTGCAATGCATAAAACGTTAAATTCTTACTTCGTCAGCAGTTCCACGATATATAGATTTTTTGATTAAAGCATCATCTTCATCAGAAAACTCTGGGAATTCCACCTCCTCTTCTTCCTCTTCTTCGTCTATGATTATGATATCCGCTGTTATATGGAAATTTTTAAATTTTTCATTAACAAGACGTTGGGCACGTTCAGTCTCTTCGCTTGATTTCCTAGCTCTATTCAATTGGATGGAAGTAGTGCTTTTGGTTAATCGCAGAAAAAAAGTATAACAAAGAAAAAATAGTAATGTTCCTATAAATTTTTTCGTACTTACTCTTCAGTTGCTTCAGAAATTTGCTGTTGTCTAAGCTTTTGTTTTAAAGCGAATTTTTCTTGGAACTGTGTCAGCCATTGAGGTTGTAGTACTGGACTTAACTCGTTCTTTTCTTTAAGAGTATTAACTGGTTCGACATAAGGTCTAAATATCACAAAATAAATTCATTTTATATAATAATAAATTATAATATTGCGGACTTACAATTCATCTTTTTTATCTTTGACATTTTTTTTATTTGGTTCATCAAATTTAGTATGAGTTCCCAATTTCCGATATTGTGATAGTATTGTAGTTTCCTCTGCATCCAAATCTATGACTCCCTTATCATTATTGTCATCATCCTCGTCCAAATTAATAACAGGCATGATTAATTTGGATGAAGCTGGTTGTTTTACACCTTTACTAGTGAGATCAATGCGATCGACAATTGGATGATTAAAATCGTGAATTGGCTTCCTCCCTCTAATTCCCTTTCGAACTTTCTTATTTTCAGCTATTGTTAATGAATTATTTTCTGGATTTAAGCACCAACGTTTATCGGAATTATATAACGATGGTACCAATTTTTTTAGGAGCTCTTCATATGATTCCTTTTCCTGAATATTATAAACCTGATTTACTACTGTATTTGGCGTATTAATCATATATGAACTGTGAGCAACATTTTTGGCGTCTTGTTTCCTAAAAGCAGGTATTTTAGGAACTAAGCCTAAACTTCCGTTCATGCAATTTATTGAAGTACTCCTTGATAAATTGGTTTGTTGATTTTGCGCTTGAGAAATTACATTATTTACTACTATCGCATTTCCATTCAATAAATTACTTGTAGTTGGTGTATTATTGCTAACACTATTACCTAGCGTATTTATAATATTCGAAAAAAATGATTTACGGATTGGTTTTAAATCAGGAACATTTAATGGTAATGAAGTAATAATATTTCCCGTTCGAGGTTCTATTAGTGGCGGGACTTGTGACCTAGCAACTGCTTCAACACGAACAGGAATGTTTTGAGTAAATGGACCAAGAGTTTTTTGATTTGCCTTATATTGAGAACTAATCTCATTGAATTTTGAAGCCGGTTCCAAATTATATTTTGAAATATCAACTACTTCAGGACCTCGTTGTAATAACCCTAAAATGTAAACCAATATAAGCAACCTCAAAAAGTATACATACTTACAGCTAAAAACAAACAAATTTAAAAAAGATATTTATATTGAGTGTTTTAAAATATTTTGATTACTTAATCTTTTCTTTTTTTTTAAAACCAATCTTTTTATTGGAACTAAGTTATATTTAACCTGACAGATCATTTTCCTATAACAATTTTAGATAGAAATTTATTTTAACCTGTTTTAAAACGCATGATTATATACAACGTAAGTAGATTTATTCCGAAAATACTTATGTAGCATGTATGTATACCTTATCATTCTTAAAAAAGAACTTATTGGTATACTTACATGAAAATATTTTTAAAATAAGTATTTCGGTAGTCTTCTGCCATTTGAATACTAATTTTAAAAACTGTTTGCTATAATTAATTTTTTAATAATAATGTTTGAAAATATGAAAATTTTCGGCATAAGTATAAATATACGATAAAAAAAGCCGGCAATTTCATAAACAAACTAATACATCAATGAAATGCAGTTTAATTAGAAGAGCCATATGATTTTCCAACATATAATCTCTCTAAAATTAATCATGTCCAACGGCATGATAAAGAACGAGGGGAGATAACTTAAAAGTTAAATTTTATTTTATACATAATTTTAAAATTTTAAGAAAAAAAAAAAATCATACCACCTGAATCAAAGGAATTTTTATTTAATGGTCGACGCGGCTGTAAAATTTCATCTTCATCGTCAGAATATTCTAATTCTGCAAAATTATTACTTTTGCTCATTGGGAATAATATAGATGATCGCTCATTTAATTTACGTTTCTGTTGTGACATAAGAGGAACACTCACGTTAGGAGGTGCATTCACAGTTTGGATGTCATCTAAATAAAAAAAAAAGAAATTGAAGAAAAAAACAAGCAATCATGAATAAAAAAAAATTTTTATAATTTTAGATTATGCATTTCGAACAAGTAGATAAAAAATAAAATTCTCACCTTCAAATGGTCTCTCAATAATTTTTGGAAATTCGTTAGTTACTCTGCGATATTTTGTCAACTGGGAATAATCAGGTTTCTCTTCTGACCTAATAATTAAATGATCACAATATTTTAATTTAAATATAATTATTATAATATATAGCTGTTTATTAAGCACAGAAATAGTAAGTGTATAAAAATATTCGTCATTGCTAAATGATCACAGGTAATCAATCTGTCTGTATACGTTCTGTTACATACAAAAATTAATATAACTGCATATTAAAATGAGTACTTTATTTATAAATAAATTCTTGTTTGTTTTACAAAGCAATATTTCATATTTCGGAAAATAATAATCAAAACTCTCAATATCACCTTCGTTTTAATGAATTCGGTTCGGTGTTGCCTCTGATTAGTTTAAATATCCGACTGATAAAATCCATTTCACCATGAACATTTTCTTTTTGTCTATTCAATATATCTAACTTCATTTGGCTTTCTTACAATCCATTCAATAAAATGTAAGCAAATTTTAGTAAATATCACAAATTATATTTATTTTTTAGTAAAAGAAACAGTACTGAAAAAAAACGCGGCGCGACTTATTTTTTTAACACACACACATTTATGAATAGAAAATTTTTAATCCATCATCTTTTGACATTTAAATTTGCAACTTATCAAATTTTAGGTTGGTACCATTTATTTCTCTACTGTTTTGGGCGACCTCTACAGTTCAACACTATAATAATGTATTTTCTTAACAATAATTCTTATCGCTACATTTTCAAATCAAATAAAAATTAAATAAAAATGAACAATTTATAAACATAAATATGTATATGTACATGATTTTACACTAAAAATTTGCTTGCAAGACATTTTTTATCATATATTTTTCCTTAAATTTTAAGTTAGACGCAAAAGTAACGTTAACATATGTTTTGGCTGAGTATAATTTTTACAGTCTTAAAAATCTTTTTTGCAATTCTTTTTTTGCTGAGAAGGGAATAGAAACAAAATTAGATGTTGGTCGTAGTTAATTAGCCCCAACGTACAAATTTCATACAAGGTGTTGATGAATGAATGAAAAATGTTCAAAACTCACTTTTCTCATTCAGTTCCCAATTAACAAGTTCAAACACAGAGTAACGCCAATATACCCCAAGAATAGCGCCAAGAGTTATTTTAATGTCAGACTATCTATCATCAAGTATATTTTTAAATCCAGCTTTTTTTTTCTATCTCCAAAAATTGAATCATATCGCGAATGACGGAATCAAATTTAACTTTACCACCAAATGTTTTAAATGTCAATTTTATTATTACACTACGTGCACTACGCGCACTACGTACTCAACTTATCAATTGCATATTTTAGCACACTATTAATTTCTACTTACTGACAATGCGATATATGCGTCAAGTTTTTGAACTAAATATGCATATAGTTTTTTAGTACATATGTCATTTAAATTCACAATTTTTTCTTGTTTTTTTCTCATTGTGATAAGAGTTGTGTATAAATTTAGGACTAAGGAATTTGTCGGACATTTAAAAAATTAGAAGAAAGAAAGTACCTTAAAAGTGAAAAATAATAAAAATATTCATATTTAAGAATAAAATTATAATTTTAAGTGTTCAATTTCAAAAATAGGTAAGTAATTTAATATTGTTGATATTAATTCAAATCTTAAGTCAATTTCATTCTATTAGTTTCTAAGTGAATAAAAGAATAATTGTAGTTTGTGTGTGTACGTACATATCTAAAAGTTCATACGCATTTATAATAACCCTACATACATATATCCCAATATAAATTATACAATGTGCATAATATTAAATGTAAAAATTATTAATTTCAATTAAAATAATCTTGAAGTGTAGATTTATGACTTAAATTTATAAAAAAAAAATCTCAAATAGTTTGCCGTGCTTACTGAAAAAATCAATAAAATTATTATTTTTCTATTTTTTTTTTTTTAGTTTATGAGTCATTCAACTGAATGTTTACTTTAATTAATTGTGTTTTTTAGATGTAAGTTGCGAAATTTTTTTTTTATAAAGAATAAATACTAAAATGATAAGATTGAATTGGTAGAGTAAAAAATTAACAAACTCACACAAACACATTTTAGTTGTTGATTTAACTTTAGTTATTTATGATGAGTTGCTTTCAAATCGCAATGTATTCTTTTTCTGTATACAGAAATCTTTGGGGAACCATTATATATGTATAACATATTATTTATGTATGTATGTACCTATGTATTTATCTAAATATTTATGTAGATATTTACCTATGTATACCAATATAATAACGCTTTTGAACTCAATAAAATCAAAAAGATTTTATAATTTGTTGGAATACTTTTCTAAGTTTTAAAATAGTAAAATAATTAGGTGGGTGTGTAGGTAAATTAAGGTAGATTCGCAAATACAGCATCCTTAAAATTTACTTCAATTTGTTTATTCAAATTCTTCAAAAATACGTACATCGTATATGAGACGGCAGATTTCACTTTTTGATATTAATGTTAAGTTCTTTGTTCTCAAAATGACTGTTCTTTTGTCTCTTAGTTCTTTTATTATCTATTTAAAGTCTGACATTAGATTCAATTAGGAAGGTAGTTAGGTAGGTTAGTACCTACCCAACCTACCTTACCTACCCTACATACATACAATGTAAATTTAAAAGGATTTATATGAAAATAATTTTTCAGATTATCTAACTAAAAATTTTCCTCAAACGATGTCAGACAACAATGAAGATCCCTTGGAAACTATGCTGAAAAAGACAGGATGTATAGAACTTCATTATAAAGTTCAAGAATGTATTGCAGAAACAAATGATTGGAGAAAATGCCAAACACAAGTTCATGATTTTAGGGATTGTATGAAAAAATATAATTCTAAAAATCGTGACATACCTAATAATAGAACAACAGCATAAAAGTTAGATATGAACTTCGTACCTACCTACCGAAATTAAACATTTTTAAATTATGATTAAATGAATTTGTAATTTTGAATTTCAAAAGGATTTTTAAAAATCTTTTGTATTTAAGCATCAAAGATCTTGTATCTTAATTAGAAATAAAAATATGTAGTTGCTAAATAAATCAAGGTTTTCATTATTTTCAAATATATAATTATGTAGAGGAATAGATCGGTACATGGATGTCTATTATAAAAAATAGAAGATGTATGTGCCTAAATATATATTAGTACAAGATTATATCATATTTAATAAAATTTTCGACAAACTAATAGAATTATCACTTTTTTAATTGGAATACAAACTTATATCAAAAACTAGAATTCTTTTTTATATTACGTATAGAAATTCAAAACCCACACCGGGTAAATTTCAAAATTCGTCATGACTATGTAAAATTATGTCTCTAAAAATGTATACTTATTAATGATTAATAAAAAAAATTTTTTAGTGTGACGTATTAATTAAGTCTTTACCATTTTATAATTCTCTATATCAAATACTTAGCAAAAAGCTTTATGTACCGTATTGCATAATTTATTTGGGTTTTACCAATCAACTGGTTGATTAATCATATGAAATTTTATTTAGAGTATCATTTAGTTTTGATTTCTGCTATTGTTTAGTTTTAGTTCAACAAGTGTATTGAAAACAATATAAAGATTTTAAAATTGAAATTAATATTTTGTGCGTATCAAATTTGATAAAGTAGGTAATGATGCATAAAATTATTTTTTAATAATTTATATTTTAATTTTGTTTTAAAAATACGGAATACCTTATAGAATAATTAAGTTTATTTAAAAAAAATGTAATTGCTCATCAATTACTTTCGGAAAAATCAATTACTTTGTATGATTTCTCCAGAAATGTTGACCATATTGAATACGGTGAAATTTATTTATTTAAAAAAAAAGTTTTGGTAAATTTTTGTTATGTGCTACTTTAGTTGTGGTTTTTCAATTAACATTTTCTGTCGGGAAATAATAAAAATGAGTTTGTTAACACCTTTTTTTAATGTTACACAGAAGTGCGTTTTATTTAAAAAATATTTTTAAACAATAATACTTCCTTGATTTAATTTTATTTAAAAATTGCCACTATTAATAGGGAAAATATAAACGAGTGACACTTTGTACAGAATGTGTGGTGGAGATTTCATGAATCAACTAATAGTTCAAATTGCAATAATTTTTATAGTATTTAGAGTTGTACGAGAAAATTACTATTATTGGAACGAGCTTGTACTAGAAGTTTGTCTATTCTACTTCGTTTTATATAAAGTAGAGTAATTGTTTTAAAATACAAAATTCTTTTTGTGTCAAGATATCTCTTTGATATAATAATGAACCATAGTTAGATGAATATTGTATATTTCATGAAAAATGAATGGGGTAAAATGATCTCATTATATTGAGTGGAACAACAAAAATAAATCTCTTCGATTACAATCTTAATTTCTATTTGGCTTAATTTCAAAAATAAAAAAACCATGTCCCATGTTCCTACCATTATCACCACAAAATATCCTAAGTATAAAAAAACATTAATGTCGTTTCTACTTCTAATCTTTTCTTGCTTTGTATATTTTTTCCTCGCTTCCTTTTTTTTATTTTGTTTTTTTTTTTTGTAAAAGCCTTTTTTAAGGTCATAAAATTTCTCATACTTCATTTGAAAAACTCCATGTTTATATCATTGTTGTTTAGAAAATTGTGTGGTTAATGAAGGGAGACCGGCAAAATAAAATGCTTAGGCACTTAATATTCATAATATAGGATGAGGTGTGCAGACATTTCTTTTGTGTTTTTAAAACCAAAAGCAAAATGAGAAAATAATAAATAAATAAATAATGTTACAGATTTTGTTAAAAAAACACTTATAAATTTATTATAATTTTTTTTTTTTGGTAATTTCAGCCAATTGTTGAACAAAAGCCAGAAAAAATAAAGAGTTTTTTTTATATAATATAAAACTTTATTTGTATATAATTATATTGAAGAAATTTAAAGTGACAAACACGTATAGAAAGAAACGATAATTACCATGTCTTTGTATCCAACATTAGAAGATATGCAAATCGATAAAATGGTTCAAGCACAACGAACCATTTTAAATGAAATTGTACAACAAAATGCACAACAGCAGCAATCAGTATCTAATTTGCCGTCACCAGACAACAATCAGCCAGCAAAAAATAATATCAATAACACTACTACTTCTAAAGAATTATATCCTGCTTTGGGTAACTTTTTAGGATTAGAATTATCAGAGGATATGATACGCCAAAATATGCCAGAGTAATACTAAAATTATTAATTAATAAAAAAAAGCAAAAATAACTAAATCTTTAATTTTCTATTTTGTTAATTTTAGATATATTCTTCAAGAAAATGTAATTCAATCATCAGGAAATGGTTATCCAGTTGTACCAAGAGAAAATGTTGATGGTGCTTCTCATAGTGGTGTTATTGCACCATTAACTGGAACTGCAGCTATATCGTCACGTGCACAAGTTAATCATAATATACGAGAATTAATTTTATGTAAAGATGCTAATGGAAAAGCTGGTTTAAGAGTTCAGGCAATTGATAATGGGATTTTTGTTAGCATTGTTGTCAAAAATAGTCCAGCAGCTTTAGCTGGCTTACGTTTTGGTGATCAAATTTTACAATTAAATGGAACATTGGTAGCAGGTTATGCTGCTGATAAAATTCATAAAATATTAAAGAAAGCAGATCAAAATAATATTTCACTTGTTGTTCGGGATAGGTAAGAGTAATTAATATTGATAATATTTTTAGATACCTAAATATTCTAAAATTGAAAATCATAATTTTTGTTTACATTACTTTTAAACTTTTAATTAAAATTTAGTGTGTATTGCATTAATCAAGTAATAAAACTAAAAATACGTGCGAATAAAAAAAATTAAAGCTTGTTTAGATGTAAATAAAAAGAAGATAAGATAAGATAAAATAGTAAATAATTATTTAAGACGGAATACAGGAAAAAACAGTGATTTTTGTAATGCAATATCGTAAAATAGACCTTTCGTATTTGTTAAAATTATAGTATTCAAAATAACAAATTATGAATTTTAAATTATTTTAAGGTTAAAGCATTTTACTTATGCTTATAATTTTTAAAAAACTTAACACAATTTAAAAAGGTCAATTTTTTTTTTTAAATATATTTTTATTTTAGACCGTTCGAAAGGACTGTTACTTTACTTAAAGATTCAAGTGGTGGACTTGGATTCCAATTTAAAAGTGGAAAAATTACCACAATTGTTAAAGATTCATCTGCAGCACGTAATGGTATATTAACAAACCACAATATTCTTGAAATTAATGGGCAAACTGTTGTCGCTATGAAAGATAAAGAGATAACAAAAATTCTTAATGAGGCTGACAGGATTGTAAAAATCACAATTATACCAACTTTTATTTATGAGCATCTTGTTAAAAAGTAAGAAAATTTATTTATTTTACAAATATTGATTTTTTTTAAATAAATTTTTATATTTTAATTTTAGATTGGATACATCATTTTTACGTGGAATTATGGACCATAGTATTCCAGATTTTTAAGCGTGCCAAATTTACATAAAAAACAAAATCAAGTCAGTAAGATGAGTCATACGATAGCGGGATAGAAATTTGTAGAAACGGTTTTATTATATTACAAGACAGAAATTATTATTTTAAAATCGGAGTTAATAATTTTATTTTTTTATGTATAAAAATGGGTAACTATAGTTTAAACCTGTATGAAGTCCAATAATATATGCAACAGTATGGAATTCCAAATATACATATAGGTTTTAATTTTACTTTAATTTTTGAAATATAAGATTACATTTTTAAAAGAATAATATAAAATGTGATAAACATAACAATATTGATTTAAAACGTATAAGTTATTATATGAAAAATAGTACCATATAAAAGTTTTTGTATTAAGCCATTTAAACAATTCGAAAGCGCCTTTGTGTCATATGTGAAATTATCAAATAAAATATCGGATAGAAATATTTACGTATATAATAAAAATTTTATATATTTACTATGTAAAATTATAAGAAACAGATAATTTTTTTAAATCGGTGTAAAATTACATTATATATAAAATTTTTCAACATTAAACGTGGATTTAAAATATTGTGATTAAATTGCATATTTCAATATTATACCATTAATAAATTAATCAATATTGTGAAATTTTCTTTTTTTTGAAAAATTATTATGCAAAAAATGTTATTAAAATGGCATTTTTTTTTGTTTACAACATTTAACAAGAACTTAGTTCTGGTTCATTCCTAAGGGTTTCAAATTTTCATAATTATTCATATTATATTAGATAATCAGTATTCTTTACTTAAAAACCTATTTTTCAAATAATTTGATTTTTTGTGAATAAATTCTATAATTAAATTTTAGTTTTTAATGTCACAATGTTTATTTTTATGTTATTTGAAAAATAAATATCAAAAAACAAAAATGAAATCATAGTAGTTACCAATATTCTAATGTAGAGTAGTTATAAGTCGATATTAAAATTTTTGTATTAGAATATGTAACGAAAATTAAAAGGCCCCGTTTTCTTTTCACTGCAATACGCTCTGTAGTTAATGAAATTACAACGATCATTAGCAAAAGCAGTATGTATTTAATTTATAAAAAATAAAGTGTTAGTGCATGCAATTTTCTTGTTTGACACAATTGCAATAATTTATAATTTTGATAATTACAATAACTGAAATTTACGAATTATATAAAAAATATTTTTCAAAAAGGAAACGAAAATAATTTTAATTCATAAGGGCTGAATATCAAATAAATAAATGTAATTAATTAAAGAAAATTTTGTAGTCGTACAAAAGTGCTATATTATTTTTGGTAGAATCATAGTTATAACTTGACTGGCGTTTACATTTAAATATTTGCACTATAATACTATTATTATTATTTTGATTATTACTATTATTATTATTACTATTTTTAATGTATTGTAGTTTTTTTACTGTTTTTGTTTGAATTTTTTGAAATAATGAAAGAAACAAATTATTTTTCTAATGTACTGAAAGAAGTTTAAATCTAAAAAAACGAATTATTTTTTTTAATAAATAAGTTTTTGTGCGAAAAAAAATAATATATATATATATATATAAATATATGTTAATTGATTATACATGTGGATATATTGTATAACTTTTATTAAATAAAAACGAAATATTTTGAGAAATAGTAAAATAATTGTTTTTTACTGAATAATTTTTATATAAAAAATTGTGTACTTTCCCGATAATTTCAGTATTTCTCATTAGGCACGGAAAAATTTTTGAAGTTAATTAAAAAAGTATAGTTTTTTTTAATTTTATTAATTAACAAAATTATTAAATTATAAAAAAAGAAAAAAGTAATTAATTGAATGAGATGCATTTATAAATAAAAATCAAAAGACAAATAATAAAAAAAAAACAGAAATAACTTATTCAGAAATTAGATTTTAAACATTACAACTCTAAACTTGTGCAGCGGCTATGCTGAACGCAAAACTTTTGGATAAGTATTTATACAGCTAAGTACTTTAACATCAATAAGAACTTTTATCAAAAAGTAAAATCAAAAACCATAAAAGTACACTAGTTGTATATAATCCGGCCGCTAAGCCAACGCTTGCTTGAAAACCAAAATTCGCAACAATAAGATGTGCTAATCCACCATAAATTAATATTAAAATACCATTCGTTATACACATTGGATATTTGACGTCCAACCATTCTGAGTGTCTCATACTGGCTTTGAATACGAAATCCTGCAAAAACAATGATATGGCTTGTCCAAATCCAAGAAAAACGGATGAAACGCTCAATAATAGTTTCGATTGTGAAAAGCTAATAGCTATAATGGAAAATTACTTTGATTACATATGTTTTTTATTGAGATTCTCTAACCAATCTTACAAATCAAAGCTAAAGATTTAGCAATACATCCTAAAACATGCCATTCAATTTTCTTTTTTACCAATGAATGACCAAATCTTGGAGTCATTAATGAAAAACACATCCACGGAAATGCTATTAAAGAATATAAAAATGGAATTTCAGCAAATTTCAAATTGTGCAAACGAATTGCAATTCCTGGTAATACAGTTAAACACATAACGTAAGAAAATATATCTGTTGAATTCAAAAATGTTGTAGGATAAAGCTTTGATACACCTAGAGCTCTGTGCATGGGTTTTAAACAGTAATCAAGAATTTTTCCACAAAATGATTGTTTTACTGCTTTCATTACACCAAGAAAACGTTGAAAGCGTGAAATTCTTTCTTGTTGTAAATTATCAACTTTTATATCTTCAATTTGATTACTTTCGTTTATTGTAATGCCATTTAAAGATTTTGATGAATGCAAAACTTCAAAACTAATTCGACGATCAATAGTAACTGTACTAGAACGAACTGTTGATGAAACATTTTCATCTTCTTCCGGTATAATTTCCATTATTTCAACTCCATTTGGATTAATATAACCCATAAAATTATCTTCCTGATCTAAATTCATAAAATTATAATGAAGCTCTTGTAAATTTGACATAGTTCGTGCCATTGGACTTCTCCAAAAATGTTGTAATTCAATATTATCTAAATTATCTAAAATATTGGGGTTTGATTTACTAATATGTTGTGTAAATGGTTGTAAAGTATCAAATCTAGGTTCTGATAATGGTGTTGGAATTAATGATTGAGCTATTGGTGCTACTGGTGCAATTTTTCTTGCTAAAATATCTTCTCTTTGTTGTTTTAAAATATCTTCAGTAGTTCTTGTTACTAATAACGCTAATGGTATCATATTTATTAATAATGAAGCCATTAAAAATATAGCTTGAGCAATCCCATATAAAGTTCGTACACTACAAAAAACAAACGACAAAAATAATTGACAAAATGCTTCTCCGCATACATGTATTGTTTTTCGTACATATTTATCGTCACGTGGTCGTACCGCTTCAAGAACTCGATGCGTTCTGGCCATCACTAAGCTAGAACCAATTCCTACAAAAAAAAAAAAAAACAAATTATAAATTTTGTTAAATTTCGTTTTTTGGTAAATTTTGATAATCTAATGAGCTACATAATTTCTCATTAATATGAAAGAAATTACACATTTTTTTCATTAAATAGTGAAATATTTGAAAAATGCTAAATATAAATTTTATCTGTACATTATTCTATTTACATTAGAGCATTTCATAAAATTTTATGTACCTATGTCATATACTACTTATGAATTTATAAATTTCCTTAATAGCTCATAATTTCCATGCTGCATATACAACATATACCTTATTTTCATTTGTACAGTATTGCATATATTTGATCGTATGTACATATATACATATATTCACAATTTCTGCCAGTAAAAACATTTCTTAAAGATTTTAATTAAGTTCAATTAAAGGTCGTTAAACTAACAACGGAACTGAATTTATAATCGCTTGTAAATAAAATTATTTTTAAACTACATTGTCCAGAATACGGTTCATCTTGTGCAGTACGTAACTACATATTCTATTGGAATTACTTCTACTAAACGGAATAAAGTACAATAAAAAAAAGAATAAATTTAGTAAGCTATGTACATAATATTATACTTATGTATGTATGGATGTGTAGTTACATTTTGTAGACCCCCGCAATTCGTAAAATAATTTCCTTTAATATCATAAATACAATTTAAGATGACCAGATCTTTTTTTGTCTGTTGTCTCTGCATCAGAATATTTTCAACGAAACAGAAATATTCGGTCAATATATAGATTTTTGTATTTTATAATGTACATACATATAGATAATTACGTAGTACGTATTTTTAAATGGTAATTTTCTATACTACAATTGTATTAAAATGTGAATTGAAAATTGCAATAAAATTGTATATTTATATAATTCAAGAATTGCAACTCATAAGCTGAATCGTGTATTAAGACTGTATTACAATTTTGTAAGCAAGAAACATTTTAATGGCAAAAGCTTTGTGTTCTGCATTTCTAACATAGATACATACATTTAGTGTAATTATTTTAGCGCTATTAATATTCATAATTTTCATATTTACATAATTTATTTTTCCTCTAAATTAGTTCAGATTAATTGACTTCAAAATTGCAATAATACGGACTTAATACAAAATTCAGCTTATCAGTTGTTATTGCTGAATTGTGTACCAATGCAGTATTACTACAATTTTGAAGTCACGGATTATTGAACAACATTATGAGTCTAAATAAAGTATATATTTTTGAATTCGATCTTATTTGCTTATCATATTCATTCAAATATACTATATTTTTTTTGATATCAATATTTCATATGGTTCTAATACATTTAAACAGACATATGTTCATTATGTAAATACATCATATTAGTCATAAGATAACAAAGTCTTAAAAAATAACAAAAGTATAGCTGGCTACTAAGTAAATTATTAATTTTTAGTTTTTTAATATTTGTTTTTTTGTTTATTTCATAAAATTTGTCTACAAACGATAATAAGATAAAAATATGAAAACTGAAAATAGATTATAATTATAAAGAAACCAAAGTTTATACATACATACATACATTCGTTGTGTAGGAAAATTTAACCAATTAATAATCAAGATAGATACATATGTTGATTATTTATTGTTCTAGGTTCTAATTTTGACTAACTTGTAAAGGGGAATTGCTTACGTATGTTACAATAGTAGTTTGATTGGGTATCTATTAAAATGCAAATTTAACATGAATTTGAATATTCAGCAATTGAATTTGTATTGCTGAATAATTGCCGTTAGATCTGCATTTTGATAAATGCCCATTGTGTTTTCAAAAAATTTAACAAAATAAATTTAAAATGAATTTAAGACAAAATTTTCTCTATCTTATTATTTATTACAAACGGAGCAAGAAAACTATGATATACTAGTTTTGTACTATATTTATTTTGTTAGAAAAAGAAGACGCAAGTAAAAATAAAAACGAATAAAAAAAAATTTGAGAATATTTTAAATTTCATTTACCTCCAAATAAACCGTAGACAATGACAGCAATTACTTGTGTTGTTGTTGTTATTGTTAACCAAGCTGATGAATATAAACAACCACATATAGTTAATGCTATAAAAACAATAACAGTAGCACATATAATAACTTTACGATGTTCATTCTCCGGTTGTATAATACCATTACAATTTTCAACTGGACTCATTAAAATTGATTGACAAATTTGACCAATTGCTTGATAAATAATTGGCGGCCATATTCTCATTACAAATTCATAATTACTATCAACAATAATACCATAAAGATAGGCTGGAGTTGCGATAAATGCCTAAAAGTATGCAATTAAGACTATCACTATTATATTTTGTTTTGAATAATAATTATTTTGTTTAAATTATACATACTACAATTTTAAAAAATTACTAAATAACTTATTTTGACGTTAGAGTTATGTTTTTATTTTATGGCCACTCAAATTAAGAAAGAATTAGTTTTGATCTACATAAATGAGCAAATTTATTTAATGTTTGGTTGAACAAACATGTAACTGTATGTTGCTTTTAGTAAGAGTATAAAAACTGCAAAGAACATAATAATATTCGTACAAACATTTGATTTATTCCATTAATAGATTAACTTACTAAGCAAGGTAAATTAATAAATAGTATAGTAAAAATTTTTATTTTTATGATCTGAGTATGGAAGAAAAGGTTAAATTTTTATATAAAGGTCTAAATTCTTAGATATGAGTTTTTGCGATTTATTCAAAAATAAAATTCTTATTGCTGAACAAGTCATATTCAATGTTAGATTAATATTTTAGTAAATGGCTTTTTTTTATTATATTCAATTCTCTTTGCGTTGCAGTAATTAAAACAAGCCGTATTTCGAGATAATTAAGAACTTTCAAACAATTACGATAATAACATTTTATGTTTTTAATTCTTTTTCTTTTTGTTTTTAATAAATAATTCAAGTTACGTGTATTGCAAACCCACATAACAGGTACTTTTGTTGAATATGCTTTTTAATTATTTGTGGACGTATTCGTCGTCTTGGCGCACCAATTACTGGCCCGGTATCCTTTACTTTAACAGCAACAGTAACAGCTTCCATATTATTCTAATTTATTGTTAAAAATTATTGTGAACTTTAATTTCTTATTTCTATTTAATTATTTCTTTTACAGACTATTAACCTATATATTTTTTGTTTTGTTTTTGTACTGTGATTAAACTTTATATCCAAGAAACACATCCGCGCACGCATACACTAAAATTATAATTTTATATTTCGTATTTTGTTTATTAATTTTTTTACTTTTTAGAAATTTTATACGTATTTCTTTTATAATTATTTCTAAATAGAATAAAAACAAAGAAAAAAAAATATAAATGTAAAATTTCATAAATTAAAATTAATTTTTTTAATTCTAATTAAATTTTTACAATTTAAGTATGAAATGTAAAAATTTTTTAATATCATCCTTTTCTAGACCACGATTCCGATAATACTAAGATGTATAGATGTACATAAATTCTTTGAGTGATAAAATAAAAAAAAAACAGAAAAGAGAAACGTAGAGGGCTTAAAACCAATTTTGCTTTTCTGTTAATTTTTCACTTTTTTTCTCGTTAGTTGTCACTTTTCTTCTCATTTTTATTACTCTTGTTTTGTCTTAAAATAAAATGTTGTTGTTGCTATTTTTTGTTCTCTTCATTTAATTTTTGATAATAAAGTTTTGTTTACGATGATGTGTGCGGTGGTGACAACAATGATAAAGCGATGTTTTCTTTTGTATATTTGCACATACATGCGGTACATACTCGTATATTTAAAAACATACAAATAAGTCGTATATATATACGTATTTATGAAAATCATATTCTTTATGTAGTTTTAACAAGTTGATCTGTTTTTCTTGTTGATCAATCATCGCTACTAACTATCATCATTTTGATATACCATTCTTCATAAATCTTTGATAACAATATTTACTATAATTTATTTGCATAGACAACACAACTATATAATATAATAAGACGTATTCAGAAATGTGTACTCTAGAAAAAATTTAATATATGCATGTATAATAATAAAATATATTGCTAATTATATTCATATATATATGTTGTATATACATACGTACAAAAATTAGATAAACGTCTTAAATTCTTTAAGTGTACATACATTAAGTGTATATTATGCATACCTATCTGGCTATGTCGTTACACATCTGATACATACATAATGTGTACAAGTATATATGTATATAAAAAATATCGGTACGAAAGCTTTCATTGTTTACTTTTGTTTTTAATATAGTTTAATTTGAAAAATATGAAATTTACTCTCAACTTTAGATTTAGGTTTGCAATATACTTCCGAAAAGAGTTACAAAAACTGGAACTAAAACTAATTGTACAATAATTATGTTACACAGTTGATTAATCAGTATATTAATTATAAAATAATTATATAGTTAATTATGTAACTCTACTATATAGCAGGGCGTATAGTATTCCTACCATTTTATTAGTTTTAAAGATTAGCAAAATTTAATTTTTATGACAGTTCAAAACTCCAAATATATTTTAATAAGAATAACTAAGTAAGCGTTTTACAATATTTATAATTTAAATATGTAATTAAAAATTTTAATGCCTCCTTTAATTCTTTGTAGAATTTTTAATTAAGCGTATAATTTCATTCTAATTTTAATGGTTTTTTTATTCTTCTCTTCCTAAAAGTATGCAATGAGCGATAAATTAATAAATTAAAAGAATAATAATAACTTTATGTAGTAAGACATCGTTTAAAAATAAAACAATTGTAAGCAATTAAGAGAAATTTTCACAAAAATCTGATAAGAACTTGTAATTAAGTTCAAATGAAAAAAAGTTTGGCTATTTTTGAAATTACATGCATGCATACTATTTTGCATTGATATTCAAAAGAATGAAGTTATTAAAAATTTTGAGAAAATCTTGTAATTTTTTTTGTTCTTCTCTCAGAACCTTGAGCTTTCAAAAGGAGATATTTTTCGTGCTTAGTATTCACAAATCTATTGCAGTAAAATAATGACGTATTACAATACAAAGAATGAGTGGTGCAAAACAATAAGTATAAGTTTTAGCAATACAATCGATAAAAGATTTGTTTTTAGATAAAAAATTTTGATGATAGTAATTTCTTATTGTAATTATTAATATGAATAGTATAACTATTAAGTTAGTTATAATTATTAATATTAAATTTTATAATTAATTTTTAAATTATTTGTTTTAAAATCGTTTACCATAAATCAAAATTAATACAAATAAATAAAATTGTTGATTAATAAGAATAAAAAATACCTTATGCTAACAATGATAATATAGTAAAAAAAAAGATTACTGTATACAAGTACATATACATATTCTTTGACTGATCAAGAAATTCTGTTACTAGATTTTAAAGACAATATACTCCATAATTTATTTTTGTAAGTGCAAACCATTTCAATTACATATTTGTCGAAAAACTTATATAGTTATTTTTTTTTATACATGCATTTATTCTAAAATAATTTTATATAATCTTCAAATTACAAAATACACATTTCAAATGAATGGTTTAAGTTAAAATAACATAATAAATGATTTTAAAAGATTTCAGCCCCAACATTTTCTAAAATTAAAAGATCATTTGAAGCGATGTCAATTGATTCAGTGTTAGTGTTAGATTCTGGTGAAATCGTCGTAACAATTAAATTTATATTGTTATCATCACCTTTTGTCACATTTGAATTAAGATTATCATCAGAATTGGTGACTTTTATATTTGCAATTGTAGTAACAATTTCTTCACTACTCTCTTTTGATTCAATACTTTCTTTTGATTCACTAGATTTATTTGTATTTGTTACAGTTTTTATGGTCGTTTCCGTTAATTGATTACTAATTGTACTTTCATTAATTGAACCCTGTGTTGTTTCTGAATTTCTTTCACTATTTTCAGTCGGATTTTCTTGCACTGTAATAGTTGTTGAAACGATTTCTTCACTGCTATTATCTGATTCATTACTTTCATTTGATTCACTAGAATGTTTACGTGATTTTATTGGATTTTCATTAGTTTTTGTTATTTCATCTGTATGATTCTCAACAGTAGATTCTATAATTGATTCCTGTGTTGTAGTATCTGAATTATTATCGATTACTTCACTTGAATTTAAATGAATTGGTCTTTCTGTTGTTGCAGTTGTTGTTGTTGATATTTTTTCATTACTGTTACTTAAAGATTCATTACTTTCAATTGATTTACTATTTGAAGAATCCGATTCATTCTTTTTTATTTCAGAATTACTTGACAGAATATCATTTTTTTCATCATTATTTATTGGAATAACATTTTTTGATTCTATTTTATTCTTGGATTCATCTGAACTACTACTCGATTCACTAGATTGACTTGTTTTTTTGTTTTCAATTTCAGTAATACGATTTTCAATACTCTCTGAAGATTTTGAATCAGGATCATGAAGACTTTTTAAATGTTTTGAAAATTTATTTGGTCTTGCATCGGATTCATGTAGAATCTGTAATTTTAATTTAAAAAAATAAGATAATTAAATATATGTATAATAAAAAAAATTATAATAAAATAAAATATTTTAATAAAAATTAAGTACCGAAATTATTAAAATTAATGAAAATACGAAAAAAATCTTCATTTTTCGTTTTTAAAATTTAATAATTCAAAAATATTTTTAAAATTAGAGAATTTCACGATATTTAATGTGCAAAACTCATTTAATAACTGAATTAAAATGGGAATTCATTCATTATTATTAAGGCTATTTGGTGAAATGGTGTTAAAATGATTACAAAAATTTTCTTATACAAATAAATTTATACAAATATAAAAATAAATATTATATTTTTAGTATTAATGTAAATGCCCATTTAAATATTTGTTTGAAAAAATATTTGATTGATAAGAAAGGATGCTTTTGCCTTTTTTAAAATTATAAAATTATTCACTAAGCACTAAGAAAATATTGAATTTTTTTCTTTAATTTTGAAGATCTTTTATAAATATTCAATTCTTAATAACGCCCACCGAAAATTTTCAAATCAATAATTAATTTTATATATTTTTCTTTTCATTAGAAAAATATTATCAGAATTATCAATTATTTTTAAAATTTTTATTAATAGCCAAATGTAAATATAAAATTATCAAAATATTTTATTTTTCCAAAATATTTTATTTTTTGATTTTTAAAATAATTACAACGTAAATTTCTTACCAAAAGATGTATAATATGAGATTCTAATTACAAATTGAAATCATTTCTAAACACTAGCTATATCTGAAGTGTCTCAAAGAATAAGAATAAGAATTTCACCTAAAGAATAAGAATTTAATTTCTTCAAAATTTAATACTGCTTTATGGTGACATAATGTTTACTGCAGTAATTGTTATAATGAAGTCGGAATATGGTATTTTTCAAATATGATGATCAAATGGAAAATTTATTACGATGGTTAAGAAAAATAAAACAGTAAAAACAATACGAAGAGAAAGTTTTCAGTTTTAAAGAAGATAATTCTTTAAATTATATACGTATACCTAACGCAGTAAATCTTATCACAATCATAGTAAGATAAGAATATTTTTTGAGCAAGAATAAATCTACAATTTATTTGCGTATATAAATATTGCTATTTATGATAAGGTTATAATAAGTTTATGTTGTTTTTATTTTATATCTTATGATTCATGAGATATAAAATATATGTATATGAAATCTGTAACTATTTCAAATATTAAAAATACTTAATTAATTTACTTGTGTAATGCAAGTAAATAAATATTATGACTTCATAATTTACATTACGAGTACTAACGCTTATTTTTATAGGAAATACAGATGCGAAATGACTTAAATTTTTGGTAGGAACATGATGTGAATATATTTCTATATGTATATAGGTAGTAAATGAATTCCAATATTTATCACAAAAATTAATAAAATTTAAATTTTAAATATGTTATTAAAAAATTAAAATTAAAACTGCTATGCCGTCTATAAACTGTAAAATTTTGTTATTGAATTTCGTTCATTAGAAAACCCGTTTATGATCTAAAATAGAAATCACATAAATTTCATATTTTCTTAAAAAACACATACCGCTATAATGTTCTAGTACGTTATGATATTTAATACTTATATGGTATTGAATTAAACAGATTTATTTGAAATCTTAAAACAGATAAACGAATTTTCTTAAGATTTTGATTTTAGATCATAAATTTAGGTTCTTGAGATCAAAAATAAGCAAAATCTAATGTATATAAAATAATCAATATCCAACGTTAATAATTTGCTCAAATATAATAAGATATATAGGAAAAAATAATAAAAAAAAAAAATTTCATATTGAAAATTTTTGTAAGTTAACGCTATTTTATACGCTTTTCTGACTAAATATGAGGTGTGAAATCACTTGTCTTATAGGATGAGTTCAATACAGTTCAATAAAGTTCTTAAAAAGTTTAACAACATTTGACCTAATACTAATAATCACACACAGTAAAATTCTTGTATATGAAAGTAATTTATTCCAGTTTGAATAATTATAAAAATGTACTTCACAAATATATATATATGAATAAATGTATGTATTTATGTATATGTTATTGTACAATTTTTAAATATTCTTGTATTATTTTGGAAATTGAATGAAAACTTATTAACTCTTTTAGAATTGAAATAATTCGTACATCTTTGTATTCGAATACACAATAAAAGAAGGAAATAAATTCGTATCTGCCTGCATAATTTCTATCTGTCGCTAACGAAACTATTACAAAAGGGTTAATCAAAATTTTAATAACATATAATTTTTGAAAATTGTGACACAGCATTATAAGTACAATTAATTTTCACCCGCTATCGGATAATATTATACATTTTTACATTGATAACAATTACTTAAAATATCTTAGTTTATTAATTGCTTGAAATATCGCAGTAATAATATTGGCAGTAAAATAGAATGGGATTGATGTTAGATAATCGTATACAACTTTTATTATATAATTTGTAAATCAAGTTTACTCGGAAGTATTAAAGGGTTAAAGTAAAAATATTTCTCCTAAAATAAATTCGCGTAAAATTTCAAAAAAAAAAAAATAATTATACATTCAATGTAAATACATACATAACATTCTTTTTGCTAAACATTTTTTTGTTTTTTATTTAGCATTCATTTTTCTTATACACAATCATATTATTGTAGAAATGATTAAATAATATTGTATCCTGTAAAATATTTAAATAACCTTGTTACTTACAGACCAATAAGTTACTCAAAATAACAACACAATGTATTTAGAATTAAAATTTTAAAAAAGTAAGAGTTGAGTAAATATATATATATATTTATATGTAGGGATTTATTAAGAAAATCATTCATCTCCGTTATCACCACCCATGTTCGTCATAGTTTCAAGATGAAAAAATATTCAACCTCTTTCTAAATCGTTTTTTTTGTTCTTGTTACTGTATAGTCACAATATTACAGATCTATGCAAACACATTTTCATTCATAACACTTTAAAATTGTTGTACCTAAAAGAAAAATACATTTAAATTTAGAATGAATGTGGTGTTATCTAGACGATATCTATGAAATTTACTGCAAAATCATAAATTAGTGTAAGAATGTCATTTAAAAAACGATGATAATGATTATGATGATCGTTAGCTAATTGCTACAGAACTATATATAAGATTTTTTTTATCGTATTTACATTATCTTGAACGTAAGAGAAATTTAAATAATAAAATGTTCAAAAATTCTTTATATTTTTTCTTTTTTTTTTTTTTGACATCTAAACATACATAGGAGTAAGTATGTATGTGTTTATATGAAGAAGATGGTATCCATAAATGATAATTTTTTTTTTAGAATATTAAGCATAAATAATTTTTTCTTGCTATAAATTAGACTAGCAAAATTTTAAATTATCCAGTATACGAATCGAATTCGAAAAACGAACTAAAAATGAAACAATTTGCATTTTACAGTGCTGTCCTTGTGATAGCGGTAAATATAGAATTTTTTAATAAATAATTAATTGTGTTTTAATACAATAATATGAATTTTTTATTTGGAAGAAATTTATATAATAAAATATTAAAGGATTACATAAAAAGGATATCAAAGTGATTAAAAAAAATCCATAGAAAGATTTTGTGAAATTTTGTAATTTTTGACTTTTCTATTTGGTTTTTGTGTAATGGTGTAAATTAAATCTTTACAAAATTGTTTTAACACAATTGCAAAATATGAAATATTGCTATGTAAATGATAAAATTATAAAAAATAACATATAGTGTTGATACCGATTGATATCGCAAAATTTTCTGTAATAATTTCAGTTTTACTTATAATTGTTCTAACGAATTGTTCTATTGAATATTATTTATTTATTCATATAATTTGTTTAAATTTCTATAGAATTTTATAATTCAACCATTAAAATCATAATTTACTCAAGTAGTGACAAAGTAGTGATTTAGAATGTCTTCATTGAAATTTTTGTTAAAAAGTTTTCTAGACTGCTTTTTATTTTAATAAAATTAAATTGAAATCAAATTAAGAAAATTTACAATTTAAAATTATAATTTGCTATCCTTTTTATTTAATATTTTGCTAAAGTTTTTAATATATACATGCATCCTTAATTTTTTTCCAATTTTACAGTACTCGACTTTAGCATCTACTCAAAATCAGATTGATTGCAATGGTAGGTCATCAATATGTTTGGGACCATTAAGTTATAAAAATTGTGCTGATAATGGAAACGGTGTTATGACAGCAAATGATGAACCAGCTCAATTATGTCCAACCGGATATAGATGTGCAAGTGTTGGTCGTGACGCATGTATGCCAATAAATCCAACCAGAGCTAGTAGATCTTCTGCTGTTGAAAATGTTACTCAAACTGCCGAACAAGCTGTAACTGATATAAATAATGATAATTTAAATATTGATGCAGCTGAACCAGTAAATAGTGCCAGTTTAGTAGATGAACCTGTTATTTCAGTCAGCCCAGATGAATCAGTAGCAAATCAAACTGAAGGAAATAATGTAGAACTTATTGAACAAACTAGTGAAACTCAAATCACTCCAGATAATGTAACAGAAATAGTAATCGTATCTGTAACAGAAGTACCTTCTGAGGCACCAACAAATTCGAACATAGTAGTAACAACAACTGTATTGCCAACAGAAACCAGTGAACAACCTATTTTTTCTTCAATTGATTTAGAAAACTCGACTGTTGTTGATCAACCCAATGAAAATGCAAATGGAAACCTAGAAGGAATAGCAGGAGAACAACCATCCATGGGAAATCCAGGTGAATTAAATCATGGAGATATTGCATCAAATGCTACCGAGGCTGGAGAAGTATTTTCACCTGCTACTGAATTAGTAAATCAAGCTACTGAAGCCTCGGTTCCCCCAACAGAGGTTTCTGTTAAAGAAACAAGTCCATCTACAGGCACCACAATAATTGAAGTTTCAACAAACTCACCTCAAAATGAAGTGGTAGATACACTTTCCACAAATCCTTTAGAACCAGTTTCCCAAGACCCAATAGATCCAGCCCAAACTGAAGTTGCTCCTATAAATCAATCAGAAGTTTCTCTTCAAAGCCAACAACCAAACATCGCTCCAGATGAAAACGTTGTAGGAGCAGTTCAAGTGGACCAAAGCACTGCTCAAAGTGCACCAGAAACTCAAAACGTCGCATCTAATGATGCTCAAGCTAATCAAGATGCAACAATTCAAGATACCGTTGCTGGACAAAATGATTTAAGTGTGCCAGCACCTGTCGAAGCTGTCAATGTAAACCAGGTTGAAGAAACAATTCCACATGAACAACCTCTTTCGATTCCAGAATCACAAAGTAATATAAATGAAGAAAATCAGTCTCCTAGCGTACAACAAGCAAATATTGCTCAAAGTGGACAACCAGATCCGATTGAAGGACAAACAGCTAATATTCCACAAAGTGAACAATCGTCCATTGGTGAAAATACAACATCTCAAGGTGAACAAGTCAATTTAAGTCAAAATTCCGATCCGTCCTCTCCAAATGAACCTACTGTTCAAAGCCAAACTGAACTAAGTGAACAAACTCAAAGCACAGCTGTTATTGGAACCATTCTAGACAGCTCCACAACAAATGAACAAGGTAGTGTAATAGCAAACTCAAATAGTATTACAAATGATCCTTTAGTAAATTCAGTTCAAGCTGAATCGGCTAGCACCGGTGTTGTAAGTGAACAGGAAACACCAATTCAAGAACAAACAGATACCCCCACACAAGCAGAGGGAAACAATGTAGAGCAAGGAAGTCCAAGTGGCTCAACCCAAAATGAAGTAGGAACTTCAAATCAAGCTGGATCAACAAATCCGGTTATAGATTCACAAAATAGTGCAAACCAAAGGCCCGTAAGCAGTCCGACACAAGGTTCGCAAACCGACTCAATTAGCACTTCCCAAGGAGAACAAATCAATCCAACACAACTACAAACGAATGTGCCTCCACAAGCTCCCTCAAGCGATGCAGATCAAAATGTATTAACCAGCCCAGTTCAAAATGAAACCGTGATTGAAGATAATGGAGTAATTCAGGGATCACCAAATAATTCAGATCAAGAACAAGTGAATGTAAATCAAAGCGGTTCTAATAACCAAAACAAACCAACTGCAGCTCAAGGTGAACCAATTAATCCCACTCAAGAGCAAGTAAATACCCCCTCGGAATCCTCAAATAATGCTGCAAATCAAGGCCAAGGAATTTCAAACGAATTCGCAAATCAAGGTTTAAATGAATCAGCTGGCGCAGTTGAATCGACACAAAATAATTCTATTCAAGGACAAACCGGAAATTCTATGCAAAATGAGCTATCAAACGTTAATCAAGGAGAATTAGGTAGCACTTCCCAAAGCGCACAGGGAGTTTCGAATAACGTAGAACCAACTAAGCCCATTCAAGGAGAGCAAACATATCCTGTTCAAGAGCAGACAAATGTTCAATCACAAGGTTCTCAACATGGTTTACAAAATCAAGGCCAAGCAGGATCTTCCACACAAGGGCAACAAACGAGTGTAGCTACAGATGGGTTAAGTGGCTCTGCTCAGAGCGCATCAGCAAATCCAATCAGTAATGAGTCCGCTAATACAGCACAAAGTCAATCAGACAGTTCCGTTCAACAGCAGACAGGTGTCAATAACCACGACTTGCAAGGTGTAGCAAATCAAAACGGACCAGGTAACACAGTGCAAAATGAGCCTGAAAACCAAATTTTAGGCGGCTCATCTAATACAGTCGAAATTGCACAAGATAGACCAATAGAAGGACAAATTGGTACTTCCGCTCAAGGTGAAGCAGGTAATGTCAACGGACTTAGTGGTTCTACTCAAAATGTACCACCAACCACAAGTAACGTTGAATCTATTAACACAGTTGCAGATCAACAAACCCATCCAGTTCAACCAGCCTCTTCTCAAGACAACTTAAATCAGTCCGGATTGGAGAATCCCGCTCAAAATGCAAGTCCAGATTTAGGAGCGACAGCCACCATTGCTGGAAGTCCGTCAATTAATTCAGCCCAAGGAATTCCAGAGGTCCCTGCACAAAACGGACAAGAATATGTGCCGGACGCAGGACCAACTGGTTACCCAGCTGCCACAGTAAATGGTGAATCAACCAGCACAGCACAAAACAAGCCTAATGATTCAACACAAAATCAATCTGGTATTTCTAATCAGAATTCACAAGGCGGCATTGATCAAAATGGTTTAATAAGTCCGGTTCAAGGTGGAAATGCTAGCCCAAGCGAAAGTGGTACAACTAATGCAGGTTCGCAAGGAAGTTCAATCCAGGATCCATCAAACCAGTCACCATCAAATCAGCAAATCGGTACACAAGTCGGTTCAAGTGCTTTACTTCCCAGTGCTCCTAACAGTTCAACAAGCCAAATTCAAGAACAGCAACATAATCCTATTCAAGGTGGACAAATCAATCCAGTTCAAAGTGGTTTAACCGGTTCGAATCAAATTGGATCAACAGGTACTTCTCAAGGCAGCGGTATTCAATCTCAGGTAGGCGGTACCGCACAAAATGGACAGACTACCGGTGTAGATGAACAACCAACAGTTTCCAATCAAAACAGTTTGAGTGGATCAGTTGGACCAAACCAAGGCCAAGATATTAGTCCAGTTCAAGGGCAATCAACCACTTCAGTACAAAATCAACATGGAACTGTTGGCGGAAATGGAATTGGAAGTCCAATTTCAGGTATATCAACAACTAATCCTGAAAGTCAATCTGAAAGCGCTTCTACTGGAGAACATATCCAAGGGCAATCAACCACTTCAGTACAAAATCAACATGGAACTGTTGGCGGAAATGGAATTGGAAGTCCGATTTCAGGTGTATTAACAACTAATCCTGAAAGTCAATCTGAAAGCGCGTCTAGTGGAGGACATGTCCAAGGCCAATCAACCACTTCAGTACAAAATCAACATGGAACTGTTGGCGGAAGTGGAATTGGAAGTCCAATTTCAGGTGTATCAACAACTAATCCTGAAAGTCAATCTGAAAGCGCTTCTACTGGAGAACATATCCAAGGACAATCAACCACTTCAGTACAAAATCAACATGGAACTGTTGGCGGAAGTGGAATTGGAAGTCCAATTTCAGGTGTATTAACAACTAATTCTGAAAGTCAATCTGAAAGTGCTTCTACAGGAGGACATGTTTCATCAGTACAATCTCAGTCAGGAGCTCCAACTCAAGCTGCAGAAGGACATGTAGTACAAGGCAATCAAGGGGATCTTGGCATTAACGGACACAATAATCCAACTCAAGGTGGTTCCACTAGTAACACAATCAATAACGGAGTACAACAACAAAGTTCTTCGCAATCATCTGAGTCAGATCAATCAGTAGAATCAATTGAAAGTAACGAAACTGTTGAAAAAATAAATAATAATGTTGCAGAAAATGCGAAAAGCCCAGAATCTGTAGAATCTGATGAAGAATCAAGCGAAAGCAAAACAAATGAAACAAAAAATTCTTCTGAAACTGTTGAGTCTAAAGAATCTAATGAAACCTCTGAAGAAACTAATGAAGCTAGTAAAGTTTCTATATCTAAACAATCTAAAGAAACTTCAGAAGAAACTAAAGAAACCAGTGAAACTGATGAATCAGATGATAATTCAAGGAATAATTTTGGACTCCATCCTGCCCTACGTAATAATAAAAATTTAAGAGAACAAATTTTAAAAAAATTGAAAAAATTTGAATGCAACGAAGAAGGTGTATTTGCCGATCCAAAAAGTTCTCATAAATACTACATTTGTAACTTGAAAGATACTAAATTAATTAAAAATCACATGAAATGCAATAAAGATCAAATATTTGATACTACGAATTTAACTTGCATACAGTCAACACATTAGAATTAAATAAAATTATAATCGCATTGTAAAAATATTGTAGAAAATTTGTACAGCATAATAAAAATAATACGAGCATATTATTTGAGTTTTTTATTTGAAATTCGATATTATAAAATCATAAATAAAAGGTTACTTTGAAATATTCATCTAAAGAGGTCCTTGTTATCATAATACACTTTTCTGGTTCTTAATATACGATAAATCAAACGGTTTATTTATTATTCTTTCACTATATTGGGGATTCTATCTGTTGGCATACAGTAGAATTTTTCATATAAAAAGTTTTTGAAATAAATCGTTTAGATCGAATGAAATTTAGACATTTTGTAACTATTATTCATAATTATTATTTCATACGCTTCCATAAACAAATTACTGTGTGCATGATAGATTCATAACGGAAAATGTTCATTTACATTACTTTTGCAAAATTCAATTATATAACTATCACATTATTTGACCTAAATTTAAACTCATTTAAAAAAATTCATTTTATTAACAAATTTACTGGAATTTCCTTTTTATATTCCAAAGATTGTTAGATTTCATTAAAATTTATGATTAATTTTTTAAAAATTTACCTTAGGAAGCATAGCCACATTTAAAGAGCACATTCTGTATATACATGCAATTTTGACCATCCTCTGCATTATAATAATTTTAATTATTATAAAAATTTATTTTACTATTCTTTTTATAATTTTCTTTCGTTATTATGCAAGTGTTGATTATCTTCAATACCGCGTAATCGTACCTAAAATAATTTCAATTTTCAATATTATTTTTTTTTAATGCAGTTCAACCAACTTATGCAATAATAATTTTAACGAATATTGTAATTAATCAAAGTTAAATTCAAAGCACGTTTATAGAATATTTTACTAAAATAAAAAAAAAGAGTTACTTATGGTATAATAATAATAACAATAGTAAATTTATTTGCGTAAGAATTAAAAAACAGAAATAAGTGGAGTATTTTTCTGTTTGACCTCTACACTCTTTTTATATATGGACGGGATAGTCTTTTGTTTTAAAACAATAATTTCACAAATGAAAAAAACAGAAAATTGAGCACATACAGAAAAAAAAATTAAAAAAAACTAAAATCAAAATATTAATTTCAACAATCGTTTTAAAAAAAGTAAATTTAAAATTATTAATAACAATTTCCAAAAATTTTAATAATTTTTTGAGTTGCCATACGAATTATAAATGAAAATTCAAAAAAAAAAACCAAAATTATTATCAAACAACAAATTTCGAGTTGTTTTTATCTTCTAGATTAAGAAGAAAACAATTAATATATTAAAAATGGCAGTGTTAATTGAGGAAAATGCACGTTTTCAAAGTTAACTTAATTTGAATTGAATTTGTGTTAAGCGTATTAGAACCCAATAAGAATTTGGACTCTAGTATAGCAACATTATAATTGGTAACGTACTTATTTATTACTTTAACAGGAAGAGCCCCCACTGCTGTATAATTACAACACCGTAAAAATTACTATTACTGTAAAATTAACTAAGTTTTCTAAAACAATAAAATACTTAAAGTCAACTATAACACCAGGTAACCCTTTCAATAGTTGATACCCTCATATAATATATTTTAAATTCTTTCTGTAATTTAAAACAATGGATAATAATAATTTATTTACGTTATGTAATATTTAAAATTACATAGTACTTATGAAAAATTCGCAGCAGAATTGTAATTTCTATAGTTGGTGCTCGCTATGAATTCAAAAGACTAAAAAACAAATAAACTATTTAAATACAACACACTTCAAATTATAACGCTCGTCTATTACATTATAGCATGTAATCTGTAATCAAAAAAAAAATTGTTTTTTAGTGAATGTGTATAAATTCAATTTATTAAAAATAATAACTTCATCGTTATATTTTAATCACATCCGGACACCAATTATTTCTTACAGTACTCACACATATATTTTTTTAAGAAAAAAAAAAACAAAAAAAAAGCAAATTTCTTTTGTAAGATCAATCCAAAATTTTGACTATTTTCTCTATTCTAAGGTATTATAAGTAAAATTTGAAGATTTGAGATATTACGACAGTTTTCTATAAAACCTCGACTTTAATTGTACATTATTTGTACTTGCAACATTGCTACGTTTAAAATCTACCTAGACATATTATTCTTGTAATATGCATTGCATTTGTTGACATTGCATATAAGGCTTGTGAAATGCGGACACAACAACAAAATGACGTTTTGACATTTGCCGCCAACCCTGAATTTGACTTTGAAAATACAAAACATAAAAAACGAGTAAAATTCGGTTTTGTATTGACTTCGGCTTTTATACTGGTAAATAAAAATTAAGTTGGGTACATCAACTGGGACCAAACAAAAATTAGGTATACGACACATAAATTTTTCTATGTTCGAAATACTCATTATCTACACACTTTATACACATAACAATTCGCATTTTGGAATTTTCATGTTTTTGTGCATGTAAAATGTTAAACTCTAGATTTTGTATAGTATTTTGCATAATACTTATAATAAATAGCTGCACAATTTGTTAGAGTTACTAGTAAAGAAATAATCATACAATTGTACTAGTTAATTATGTTTTCGTAGCGTATGTCCCCTAAAGATCGAATTTTCATTAAAATATACTAGGTTTTCGTATATTCCTTTGACCCATTATTGATGCACTTGCTTCTTTAACATTGTCTTGGACATTACAAACTGGGTACTATGTAATTGACATTCTTTTTTATTAAGAAAAACTATTTTGGGTTTTTTTTTTGTAAAAAGTACGTCAAATAATTTTTCTTGTTAATTCAAAACAGGTACACAAATTATCTTTATAAAGATTACTTTAGTTATAAATACTTAATTTTTTTTCCTTTGCTTGTTTAATTATAATTTTTCATTTATTAAAAAACTAACTGTAAGTATATCAGCATAATAATATTTGCGAACATAAAAAACAATGACACATATTATCTGGGTAAGGTATAAGATAATAACGGAATAATTTAGACTAATTTTAAATATAATAATAATAACAAAAACGGAAAAAAAATGTTACGTAAATCGGTTAAAGTTTAAAATACATATTATGTTACCACTCACCCACCCACCGTTGGGTTATTTATATAGAAAGCCGCCTAAAATTTTACTAAAATGAAGCAAATTTATATTTTGTATGCATAATTCTTCCTTACTTTAAGATATTTATTTATGAAAAATTATAATAACTAATACTACATGCCTTATATTGCATCTTACATTTGCAAGAGCAATCTGTTTTAGTCACCTTAAAACCGGAAATCTCATTTTCATCTTGAAGGAACAATTGGAAAATGCTGACTGAATTTTGTGTATTCTTTAACACTTTTAAAATTACATACTTTATCACCCATCTTTTTTCTTCTCACCCAAAGAGAAAAATTTAGATTCTCTTGATTTCTAAACTTTCTTAGAATTCGAAAAATCAATTAAACTATCAATTTAAAATATATCTGGGATAGAAAATACGCTTCCTTTAACCATTAAGAATTTATAGATCTAGCCATCTACTCGCCTCTTGGAAATAATTTATTCGTTTTTTTAATCTTATTAAGTTTTCGAATTATTTTAATTAACGCAATGCACTATCATTTTATATTTATTTGATTAACGCTTAACTTCACTGATGTTATAAACGTCCGACGTGTTATATTCAAATGTAGAGCAACATTGACAAAACATCAGAATTAATAATAACAAGTAATCTTACTGTTTAAAATTCCAAATTATTGTAAATGAAATTTTTTTGGTTGTTTCCTTTTTAATACACAATCAGTATGAGGAGACACAAAATGAGTTTGTTATCTTTTTGACTTTTAAAAAAAAAAAATGTTGAATAAATAAAAATGAAAGTGAAATTTTCTACCTGTTTCTTTTGCATATTCAAAAAAAAAAAATTGTGTGTATATGAATTGTCGTGTTATAATTTAAATAATAACATAAAAAAACATAAAAATGATAAAATTTTAATTTACAATTGCAATTTTTGGTCTGTAATTTTAATTTTGTCTCCTGGTACTCCGCTAAGCATAATTTTTTAAAATGATTATCATACACCAACTCTAAATAAATAGGCACCTATACCCTAAGTGTATGAATGTTTACCTACATAACAATGGTCATCATTCACAATTTTTCTTTATTGTCTCACTGTTTTATTTGATTTAACAACTAAAAAAAAAAGAGCAAAAATAAAGTGAAGTTATGCTGGGAATTGAAAATTTTATTAGTTTTTCATTTTGCTATTTACAAAAATATTATCAAATTTCTGTGGGACTAAAATACCTACATGCATACTTAAGTACATAAACACAATATTATACAAGGCACAAGATAATGAACCAAGAAAATTATCATACTAGTAAAATTAACAGTTTTTTTTTAAACGTTACTTTTTTTTACTGTTATTACACTCAATTTATGTTATTTACAATAATTTTTGTAATGTAAATTAATTTTTGCATATATGACAGAAATTCATATTATTTAGATTTACAAAATATAAAAAGGAAAAGTGAAAAACATAGCAATTATAACTAATTAAGCACGCGTGTATGGGTTTTTACATGAATGAGTCTATAAAATGAAGATGATACAAATATATGATTGTTCTGATAATTAATTCATATACCTATGCCAAAGTATGTATGTAAATAATATGTAATTACTGAAATGTGCAATGGTTAATATATTGGAATTTGCAGCAATCATTTTTCAATTTATTTTATGTTAGAAATTTAAGTGTTAAGTAATAAAAAGAAATTTTTAATAATGATTGGTTAAAGGATTACATACATAAGTAGTTTAATAAATATATAAAAATTATGTATTTCAAAAATTGTCGCACTCTAGTATTTGGAGTGTAGTGAATTCCTATTAGAATACTTAATTTATACCGTAACATAATTAATATTATAACTATAATAGAAAATAAGAAACAGAAATTACGTATAAGTAGGCATATACATATGTATATGTCGTTTTTTTATTTATAAAATAGTCGCCTCTTTCTTCTTAAATT